AGCAGTGGCCCCAAAACAGATCCTTGAGGTACACCACTAGTAACTGAACTCCAGGATGAACATTTCCCATCAACCACCACCCTCTGTCTTCTTACAGCTAGCCAATTTCTGATCCAAACCGCTAAATCACCCTCAATCCCATGCCTCCGTATTTTCTGCAATAGCCTACCATGGGGAACCTTATCAAACGCTTTACTGAAATCCAAATACACCACATCAACCGCTTTACCCTCATCCACCTGTTTGGTCACCTTCTCGAAGAACTCAATAAGGTTTGTGAGGCACGACCTACCCTTCACAAAACCGTGTTGACTATCCCTAATCAAATTATTCCTTTCTAGATGATTATAAATCCTATCTCTTATAATCCTTTCCAACACTTTACCCACAACCGAAGTAAGGCTCACTGGTCTATAATTACCAGGGTTGTCTCTACTCCCCTTCTTGAACAAGGGGACAACATTTGCTAGTCTCCAGTCTTCTGGCACTATTCCTGAAGACAATGACGACATAAAGATCAAAGCCAAAGGCTCTGCAATCTCCTCTCTAGCTTCCCAGAGAATCCTAGGATAAATCCCATCCGGCCCAGGGGACTTATCTATTTTCACACCTTCCAGAATTGCTAACACCTCCTCCTTATGAACCTCAATCCCGTCTAGTCTAATAGACTGTATCTCAGTATTCTCCTCGACTACATTGTCTTTTTCCTGCGTGAATACTGACGAAAAATATTCATTTAGCTCCTCTCCTATCTCTTCGGACTCCACGCACAACTTCCCACTACTGTCCTTGACCGGCCCCAATCTTACTCTAGTCATTCTTTTATTCCTGACATACCTATGTTTGGCACTGTACAAACCCAGAGTTAACTCTGGTAAATGTATAATTTTTTTTGAGCTGCATGCCTATATGTTGCACTTGGACAGGCTGACATTTAAAACCAATGCAAACTATGATGCTGTTAGATAAACAGGTAACTTGCACTACCTGCATACAAACTTCAGGAATTTCCCCAAGGCTATCCTGTTCAGCCACTTCAAATTGGAATGTATGGTGGGAGGGTTTCTGCACCATCTTGAAAGAAATTAGGCTGATAAGCTTTGGCTCATTGTCTTCTTCCATCTTCTGACCCACAGATCACAATCAGTGAAGATAGGTAACTGCACCTCCTCCACAATAACACTCAACACTGAAGCCCACAAGGATGCATCCTCAGGCCCTTACTGAACGCCCTGTACACTTACGACTGTGTTGCCAAATTCCGAACGAACACCATCTATGAGTTTGCGGATCACACCACCATAGTAGGATGGATATCTAAGAACAATGAGTCAAAATACAGAAGGGAAATTGAGGGCTTGGTGACATGGTGCAATGAGAACAACCTTTGTCAACGTCGGCAAAACTAAAGAACTGATCACTGACTTCAGAAAAGAAGGAGAACACACCCCCATCTACATTTATGGAACTGAGGTTGAGAGGGTGGAGAGCGCCAAGTTCCTCGGAGTGACGATGACCAACAACCTGTCCTGGACTTCCCACGTAGACGAGACGGTCAAGAAGGCATAACAACACCTCTTCTTCCTCAGGCGGCTCAGGATATTTGGCATGTCCATAAGGTCCGTCACCAACTTCTACAGTTGCACCATTGAATGCATACTGTCTGGGTGCATAACGGCCTGGTATGGCAACTGCTCTGCCTAGGGCCGTTAGAAACTACAGAAGGTGGTGTGCACAGCCCAGACCATCACGGAAGCCAACCTTCGATCCACGGACTCTACATACACAACTCAGTGCCATGGAAAGGCGGCCAACATCATCAAAGACCCATTGCACCCCAGTAATGACCTCCTACAACCTCTTCCATAGGTGGAAGATACAGAAGCCTGAGCACACGCACAAACAGGTTCAGGAACAGCTTCATCCCGGCTCTTAATAGACTGATGAACGGACTCTCTAGCCTCAAATAATGCTGATCTTGCTAACGTTGTTCTCGCCTAGCTCATTTCCTGTGCAATATAACCTGTGTGCCTCTGTCCAAGTCTTTTTGATCTGTACATCATTGTTTACTATGATATGCCCGTACTGCTCGTAAACAAAGCTTTTCACTCTACTTCAATACACATAATAAACAATCAATTGATTGTTCAAAATGAAAAAAAAACTTGTGGATGCCCGTTCAGTTGGGTATTCTACATGGTGTTACAAACCTGAAGAAGACGAATCAAAGCAATGCCACTTTTCTTTATTCCATGGGATCCGGGCATTATTGGCTATCGGCCAACTTTTATTGCCCATTCCTATTTGCCTTGGACAAGGTGGTGGTCAGCCATCTTCTTTAACTACTACAGTCCATGGGTTGTAGAGACACTCACAGTGCAGTTAGAAAGTGAGCTCCAAAATTTAAACCCAGTGGCAGAGAAGGAATAGTGATATATTTCTAAGTCAGATTAGATTGTGGCTTGGAGAGGGACTTGCAGGTTTCGGTGTTGTCATGTATCTGCTACCCTTGTCTCCCTAGATGGTGGAGCTCAACAGGATTGGAATGAACTTTTGAAGTAACCTTGGGGAATTACTGCAGTGCATCTTGTACATGGTGCACACTTGTCACTGCCCATCTGTGATGAAGGGAGTGAATGTTGAAACTGGTAGATGGTGATCGTTGAGGTGAGACACAAAACTGCTTGCTTCTGACTTGCTGTCATAGCCACAGCATTTAAGCAGTTAGTCCAATTCAGTTTCTGGTCAATGGTAAACCTCAGGGTGTTGATAATGAGGGATTCAGAAATTGTAATGCCATTGACTGTCAAGTGTTGATGGTTAGATCATTAGGTAACCATTGCCTGGCACTTGTGAGGTACAACAGTTACTTCCTACTTCATAGAATCCCTACAGTGTGGAAACAGGCCCTTCGGCCCAACAAGTCCACACCGAAACTCAGAGCATCCCACCCAGACCCATCCCCCTACAACACACCTAATCTACACATCTCTATGGGCAATTTAGCATGGCCAATCCACCTAGCCTGCACATCTTTGGACTGTGGGAGGAAACCAGAGCACCCGGAGGAAACCTATGCAGACACGGGGAGAATGTGCAAACTCCACACAGACAGTTGCCTGAGGCTGGAATCGAACCCGGGTTCCTGGCGTTGTGCAGCAGCAGTGCTAACCACCGAGCCACTGTGCCACCCTATTATTAGCCAAAGCATGAATTTTGTCCAGATCTTGCAGTATTGGGACACAGACTGTTCCAGTAATGGTCAATGATACTTAAAACTGTGCAACCATCAGCGAACACACCCACTTCTGTTATTAAGAAGCAAGATCATTGATGAAGAAATTGAAGATGGTTGGACTTTGGACACTATCCTGAGGAATCTTGCATCAATGTTTTTGTTCTGAGATGATTGACCTTCAACAATCACAACCATCTTTCTTTATGTTAGATATGATTCCAACCAGCAGAGAGTTTCATATTGTCTGCACCTGGGTAGCCCAGCGAAGGCTCTGAGTAAAATCTTGGGAGCTGACATTGGACTTAGGAACAGGACAGTAAAAACAACATTGTTATTAAATTACCAACACCTCAGTCCAGCCAGGGAGTGTGAGGAAAATCAGGCTGTGAGTTTCTGAATAGTTTTGAAAAGCATTTTGTCTTTTTATATTGTTGTGCATGATACAGATCCCATCAATTAATTGGCGGCTTTATAACAATACTCTCCCTTAGCTATCTACCAATCTGCATGAGACAAGCTGAAAAGTTCGGATGGTACACATTTTATTTATCTTATGCTCAGTACAGCACAGTTTCCTGGCAAACAATTACATTGCTAACCTTTTTTAAGTTAACTCCCTTACAGTTAGAGATAAGGAATCAGCAAGAAATAACTCGCCTGCTATTTACATTTTTTAAATGCTGTACTTTATCATATCCACGCCATCAATTGCCATCAAATATAAACAACTGAAAATATAGTATATCTGTTTTACTTATCAATAGCAACACATTTCTGATGCCAGATGTCAAGTCATTGATGCATTTTTAAATTCTTTTATGCAAGGATATACTTTTACGAGAAAAGTGGCTTGTTAATTTGTTTTCAGCATTTGAATGGAACTTTTCTTATTGGTGTCACAGTAGTTCAGTTGGCAGCATTCTCACCTCTGAGTCAGAAGGCTGTGGGTCCAAGTCTCACTCTAGAGACTTGAGCAAAACATCTAGGTTAACACTACAGTGCAGTACAGGGCAGGAGTGTGGGGGGAGCGGTTGGAGAAATGTGTTGCATTGTCACAGGTGAGACATTAAACCAAGATCTGCCTTCAAATATACGTAAAGGATCCCATGGCACTATTCTGAAAAATAGCAGAGAAATTCTTCCAGTGTTTTAGCCAATGTTTATCCCCCAACACTAAATCAGACTAACTACTCAATGGCATGGTGTTGTTTGTGGGAGTTTGTGTGCTGAAATTGGTTTCTGTGTTTCCGACATTGGCTACACTGTGGTTTGTGACACAAGGTGGTACCTAAATGCAGGAAAATGCTCCAGTCACCTGGGGGAGACAATGGCCTAGTGGTATTATCACTAGACTGTTAATCCAGAGACCCAGATAATGTTCTGGGGACCCAGGTTTGAATCCCACCATGGCAGATAATGGAATTTGAATTCAATAAATATCTGGAATTAAGAATCTAATGATGATCATGAATCCATTGTCGATTGTTCAAAAAACCCATGTGGTTCACTAATGTCCTTAAGGGAAGGAAATTGCCATCCTTACCTGGTCTGGCCTACATGTGACTCTAGACCCACAGCTAAAGTGGTTGACTCTTAATTGCCCTCTGGGCAATTAGAGATGGGCAATGAATGCTGCCTAGCCACTGATGCCCTTATCCCATGAATGAATTAAAAAAAACTCAAAAGATTATTTTATTATCACATGTAACAGTGCACAGCAAGATAATAGTACTTCAGACTAGTTTTCACACAACATTCTTACCTTTCCGTCAAACCTAGCTGTTCCACCAATGGGAATCCGCAGATTTTTTGGAGGCAGCGTGAAAGCTGGTGCTTCTGGAGGGTAGGTGTCAGCCTGAGGTCTTTCCAAAGTTAACGTTGTTTTGGAAATACGAGTTGCATTTTGAGCAATCTTCACATCTCCCATGGTTAATTATCCAATCTGATAGGAAGGAAAGGTTTGGTTAGTATTTAGCATGAACACTTTGAAAAACATACAATACACATTGGCAAACCACCAGAAACGATAATCACTTAAAAATTAGATGACAGTAAGCCCTCATTTAAAGTTGTTGTTGTGTTCTTGGAAATCACAACTTTTACTGAAGCATGGATTCCCATAGGAATGAACATTAAATCCGGAAATAGGCTCATCCAGTCATTTCTTGCTCAGAACAATTCAGGTGATATATAACTATTACATTAATGTAAACAGCAGTACGAGTATGAATATATTTCATGACAGCAACAATCTTCAGTTTCAAAAGTAATGAAAGTTGCTCAATGACTGCCTGCTCCATGATTTATTTTTATGAGGAAGTAGCTCTTAATTTGAGTTCGGCATTTGAGTGGAATGCTGAATTTCTCCACAAGTTGTTTTGGATGGCAGTGGGTAATCAGTTATTTAAACACTGAAAATATAACAATTTTCCAATGTTTAGCAATTGGCTCCTAAGGAGTAGGCACATTCTCTAATGCAGTGATTATAGGCACTGTCTTATTTCACCAAGTTAATTTTACACTGAAAAACATTTAGAATGTTTAATGACTTTTTTTCCTGTTCTCTTTCCAGAATCTTCATTCCAAGAGCCAACTCAGTTGTTTACACTATGAAATCTCTTTCATAAAGTGACTGGGCAGACTTGTAGAGCTCTAAAATTCCTAACTACAGAAAATGAGTTCAAAATTCCATAATACTCTGGTCTTCCTTAGCACAAATTGTAAAAGTACAGATGATGCTGAGATTCAGGTATGACACCTTGTCTGGCGGCTTCTCGGTGGCCTTTTTTTATTGGTGCAGAGCCTCCTCCCCTCTAAAACAAGATCAGAAGCATATGACAGGGTTCCAGGATTACTACTGATATTAAACTAACTCCCTTCTTCTCCCATTTTCTCCCTTCTTCCTTTTTTATACAATGCATCCACTGACTCTACATTTACAAGTTTTTGAAACCCTGAGATGCAGATTGTCAAGTCCAGGCAATTGGACACTATTTAATTCCAGTAATATTTCTTTATTTATATTGATTGCTTTCAGTTTGTCATTCTCACCAAAACACAAAAATCTATGAACCATTTAGACATTAAGCCGACTCCACCAATCAATAGAATTCTTGACAGGAAAGAAGGTGAATCATTACTGGGGGTAAGCAGGATTGTAGAATTGAGGTTGTCATCAGATCAGCCGTAACCTTACTGAATGGTAGAGCAGGCTCAAAGGGGATGAATAGTCTATCCTGCTCATAATTTATAAATTAGTAGAACAGTTATAATTCTTAAAAGTCAGAGCCTTACAGCATGGAAATAGACTCTTTATCCAACTTGTGCATGCCGACCAGGTTTCCCAAACTAAACATAAGAACATAAGAACTAGGAGCAGGAGTAGGCCATCTGGTCCCTCGAGCCTGCCCCGCCATTTAATAAGATCATGGCTGATCTTTTTGAGACTCAGCTCCACTTACCCGCCCACTCACCATAACCCTTAATTCCTTTACTGTTCAAAAATTTATCTAGCCTTGCCTTAAAAACATTCAGCGAGGTAGCTTCAACCGCTTCACTGGGCAGGGAATTCCACAGATTCATGACCCTTTGGGTGAAGAAGTTCCTCCTGACCTCAGTCCTACATCTGCTTCCCTTCATTTTGAGGCAATGCCCTCTAGTCCTAGTTTCACCTGCTAGTGGAAACAACCTCCCTGCCTCCACCTTATCTATTCCCTTCATAATCTTATATGTTTCTATAAGATCTCCCCTCATTCTTCTGAATTTCAATGAGTATAATCCCAGTCTACTCAGTCTTTCCTCACAATCCAACCCTCCCAACTCTGGAATCAACCGAGTGAATCTCCTCTGCACCCTCTCCAGTGCTAGTATATCTCTTCTCAAGTAAAAACGAGTCCCATTTGCCTGCATTTGGCCTACATCCCTCTAAACCTTTCTTTTTCATGTAGCTATCCAAATGTCTTTTAAATATTGTAACTGTGGCTGCATCTACCACTTCCGCTGGCAGTTCATTTCACATACAAACTACCCTCTTTATGAAAAATGTTGCTCCTCAGGTCCCTTTTAAATATTTCTCTTCTCACCTACACTAAGGAAAAGACTTTTGCAGTTCACCTTACCTATGCTCGTCATGATTTTAAGTCTTTAAGGTCACCCCTCAACATCCTATGTTCCAGTAAAAAAAGTTCCAGCCTATCCATCCTCTCCTTATAACTCAAACCCTCCAGTCTCAGTAATGTCCTTGTAAATCTTTTTTGCACCCTTTCGAGTCTAATAACATCCTTCCTAGAGCAGGGCAACCAGAATTGTACACAGTACTCCAAATGTGGCCTTACCAACGTCCTGTACAGCTACAACATGATGTTTCCATTCATATACTCAATGCTCTGACCAATGAAGACAAGTGTGCCAAACGCCTTCTTCACTGCCCTGTCTTGCCACAACTCCATTCTTCATCTCACGTCCAACATACTCCCGTACTCTTTGACTTTGTGTGGATAAGAAAAGATCTATCCAACTCAGTTCTAAATAAATTTGATGAGCAAATCTCCACTACTCTCTGGAAGAGGGACAGCAGAAAATTGCAAAGATCAACGATCGTCAGAGAGAAGAAATTCTGCCTTATGTCTGTTTTAAATGGGAGACCACTTATTCTAAAACTGTGGTCCCTAGTTCTAAGTTCCCCTGTTAGAGGAAACATTTCTGTCAGAATCTACCCTGTCAATACACCTCAGATTCTTTGATTCAAAAAGATCTCGTCTCATTCTTCCCAAATCCAATGTGTATAAGGTCCAACTTGTTTAGCCTTTTCTCATAAGACATTCCCTACTTCCAAGAATCAACTGTGTGAAACTTTTTCAAACTGTCTCCAATCCAAGTACTGCATATCCCCTTTAAATGACGAGGCCAAATCTATACACTCGGTATAGTCTCATCTTCTTGCAATAAAGGCCATCAAAAGGCCTTCCTAAATACATACTGTACCCACATGTCTATTTTTATGACTGAATTTCCGCACTATTTCCAAAAAAATGTTTTGCATCTTGTACATTAAGACAGATGCAGCATAATGATTTAATGTCTCTGTCATTTCCTTATTTGTCATTATAGTTTCGCTTGCCTCTGCCCCTAATGGAACCACGCTTACTTTCACTTATCCTTTTCTTTTTATATACCCATAGAAGCAGAAAATCCAAAGAGGTGTTTCCCAAATATGTCCAGGAGGCAACATCCCTCAATTTTTCATCCTGACCTAAATTCCCAAATGTGCCCCATTACTATCAGCTGGTATGGGGAAGTAGGATGGTAAAGGGGAATTCTAATGTTTAAATTTGTCATCACATCCCCAATGTGTCAACAGACTTGTAAACAGCAGACAGTAGCTTTCCTGGGTGCAGGGTTGGAACTAGACTTTATTGGACCTTGGTCTTACTCTTCAGCCATTCTAGTTTAAAATGTGACAGTTCTGCACAAAGATGTTTAAAATCAACACGGGATAGAAAATGGACAAAATTGATAAATGTCACATTTGGCGTACCTCAGCGTGAGTTTGCATGAAGGCCTGGGTATCCATCAAGTTAAGACAACTCAGGAGTCCTTTTGAAATAGTGGATAAGACCTGATTCTGGGATGCCACCTTCATTCTCATTGCTGGCAGTTTTCACCAGCATGTGGTAAGGGCATGGATGCACAGCACTCCCAACTGTGCCCATTACATTGCAAGGCTGGAAACATTAAAACACCCTGCAAGTTTCGTGGAGGACATTAGAGAAGACATAAACCCTGGAGGAATCCCAGTTCCAAGTGAGGAGCCACAAAAGAATGGTCAGCTGCCCTTGAAACTGTTTCACCTCCAGGCTTTAAAATACAAAAACAGCTTCTGTAGCTTTTACTTAAAGAAAACACTCCCCCATTCTTCTGGACTGCATTGATTGACAGACCATCAGGTGTACCTAAGGGGAAAAATAGGCCATTTGTTTTTTTTTTTCAGTATCAATAAACTCCACTGATTACATTCCTCAGGATTTGTTATTATAACTGAGCCCATTTTTAATGCTCATTTCAGTTGCACTTATCTCAGCAGTGGACTGTGTTTTGATTGGCAGTTTTAGTAAGCTCTTTAAAGGATTATCTTTCTTTGCGCCATCTGCAATGATGAGTTCCATAGATTCACCAATCTCTGGCTGAAGAAATTCATCCTCATCTCAGTTCTAAAGGGTCATGCCTTCATTCTGAGGCCGTACCCCTAGGTCCCAGTCTCTCCTACTAATGGAAACATTTTCTCCACGTCCACTGTATCCAGGCCTCTCAACTTTCTCAAAGTATCAGTCACAGCCTCCCTCATCCTTCTAAATTCGGTCAAGTACAAACCCAGAGTCCTCAACTGCTCCTCATATGACAAGCCTTTTATCCGCGGGATCACTCTTGTAAACCTCCTCTGAACCCCCTCCAACATCAGCACATCCTTCTTTAGACAGGGGGCTGAAAACTGCTTACACTATTCTAGATGTGTCCTGACCACAGCCTTATACAGCCTCAGCAGTACAGCTCTGCTCTTGTATTCTAGCCCTCTTGAAATGAATGCATTATATTCGCTTTCCTCATTGCCAACTCAACCTGCATATTAACCTTAAGAGAATTCTGAAGGACTCCTAAGTCACTTTGTGCTTCAGATTTCTGAAGCCTTTCCCCATTTAGAAAATAGTCTGTGCCTCTATTCTTCCTATCAAAGTTCATAACCTCATACTTCCCCATATTGTATTCAATCTGCTGCTTCTTTGCCCTTTCTCCTAGCCTGTACAAATCTTTCTGCAGCCTCCCTGCTTCCTCAACACTATCTGTCCCTCTATATATCTGAAAACTGACGAATAATGCCCTCAGTTCCATCATCCAGATAGCAAATGTATTATGTGAGTAGTTGTACATTGACCCCTGAGGAACTTC